CCAGTTTCATAATAATAATAATAATAATAATATTAATAATAATAATAATAATAATAATAATAATAATAATAATAATAATAAAGTTGGAAGGGACCTTGGAGGTCATCTAGTCCAACCCCTTCCTCAGGCAGGAAACCTATACCGTTTCAAACAAATGGATGTCCAGTTTCATAATAATAATAATAATAATAATAATAATATTAATAATAATAATAATAAAGTTGGAAGGGACCTTGGAGGTCATCTAGTCCAACCCCTTCCTCAGGCAGGAAACCTATACCGTTTCAAACAAATGGATGTCCAGTTTCATAATAATAATAATAATATTAATAGTAATAATAAAATTGGAAGGGACCTTGGAGGTCATCTAGTCTAACCACTTGCTCAGGTAGGAAACCTAAACCCTATCCCAGGGCTGTCAAAATGGCGGCCCGCGGGCCGGACTCATCATCTGGAAGCCGCGCCCACCCCATTGCCGGCAATGGCAAAACCGTCTCGATATGTTGCGCGGGGTCACGTGACGTCACGGGTTTGACATGCCTGCCTTATACCATTTCAGACAAATAGTTGTCCGGTCTCTTCATAATAATGATGATGGTGATAATAATGATAATAAAGCTGGAAGGGACCTTGGAGGTCATCTAGTCCAATCCCCTGCTCAGGCAGGAAACCTATACCGTTTCAGACAAATGGATGTCCAGTTTCATAATAATAATAATAATATAATAATATAATAATAAAGTTGGAAGGGACCTTGGAGGTCATCTAGTCCAACCCCTTGCTCAGGAAGGAAACCTATACCGTTTCAGACAAATGGATGTCCAATTTCATAATAATAATAATAATATAATTATAATATAATAATAAAGTTGGAAGAGACCTTGGAGGTCATCTAGTCCAACCCCTTGCTCAGGCAGGAAACCTATACCGTTTCAGACAAATGGATGTCCAGTTTCATATTATTATTTATTATTATTATTATTATTATTATTATTATTATTATTATTATTATTATTATTATTATTATTATTAATAATGTTGGAAGAGACCTTGGAGGTCATCTAGTTCCCTTGCTCAGGCAGGAAACCTATACCGTTTCAGACAAATGGATGTCCAGTTTCATAATAATAATAATATGATGATATTGGTAATAATAATAATAATTATTATTATTATTTATTGTTATTGTTAATAGCTGCTCAGTTTGTGTCTTGGGTGTTTTATCCCTGGGGTGGACAAGCTTCTGCCTTTGTAATAATAATAATAATAATAATAATAATAATAATAATAATAATATGATGATGATGATGATGATGATGATGATGATATTGATGATAATAATAATAATAATTATTATTATTAATTATTATTATTATCATTACGAAGGCAGAATCTTCTCCAGCCCAGGGATAATACACCCAGACACAAACAGCAATTATTTATTTATTATTGTTGTTGTTGTTGTTGTTGTTATTATTATTATTATTATTATTATTATTATTATTATTATTATTATTATTATTATTATTATAAAGTTGGAAGGGACCTTGGAGGTCATCTAGTCCAGCCCCTTGCTCAGGCAGGAAACCTATACCGTTTCAGACAAATGGATGTCCAGTTTCTTCTTCATCATCATCATCATCATCATCATCATCATCATCATCATCATCATCATCATCATAATAATAAAGTTGGAAGGGACTTTGGAGGTCATCGAGTCCATCCCCCTGCTCAGGCAGGAAACCCTATACCGTGTGGTCCAACTATCACAGGCTTGGCAACTGACTCGCCTATACGACGGTTTCGTCGTCCCGAGGTCACGCGATGGCGAGCAAAGGGGAGGGGAGGGGCCAGCCGGCTTCACTGAACGACCCTGGGACTCCCTTAACCGCCGCCACGATTCGCTTAGCAACGCTGGGCCGAAGAGTGGTCAAAAGGGGGGGGGGGAGGCGAATTCGCGTCACCAACGTCTCCCTTAACGATTGTCGGAAGTCGAGGACTGCCTTCGTTTCATTGAGGGGGGCTTGATTGATTGTGGAAATTTATACCGTTTTATATTTCTGCCGATTATATCAATTGATATCGTTTTCTCTCCACCTCTCTTCCAGGAATTGGATCCTTTGGTTTCTGCCAGAGATGTTCTCCCTGAATTCCTGTAGAAGAGGTAAGATGTCGATCCAGCCGGGAGCAGAAGGGGTCCCGGGAGGTCATCCAGTCCAACCCGCTGCTCGAGCAGGAGACCCTGACAGAATCGCCGAATGACAAGCGTTGGAAAGGGTCCCGGGAGGTCATCCAGTCCAACCCCCTGCTCCAGGAGGAGACACCCTGACAGAATCCTAGGAGGACAGGTTGGGAGGGGACCTTGAAGGTCATCCAGTCCAACCCCCTGCTCCAGGAGGAGACACCCTGACAGAATCCTAGGAGGACAGGTTGGGAAAGGACCTTGGAGGTCATCCAGTCCAACCCCCTGCTCCAGGAGGAGACACCCTGACAGAATCCT